AAAAAAATTAAAAAAAAAAAAGAAACTGAAACCTTGCCATTTGCAACGACGTGGATGGAACTAAAGGGTATTATACCAAGTGAAATAAGTCAATCAGAGAAAGACAATTATCATATGATCTCTCTGGATATGAGGAATTTGAGGGGCAGGGAGAGGGGTTTGGGGGGAGAGGGAGGGAAAAATGAAACAAGATGGGATCAGGAGGGAGACAAACCATAAGAGACTGTTAATCTCAGGAAACAAACTGAGGGTCGCTGGAATGGAGGGGAGTGGGAGGGTTGGGGTGGCTGGATGATGGACACTGGGGAGGGTATGTGCTATGGTGAGTGCTATGAATTGTGTAAGACTGATGATTCACAGACCTGTACCCCTGAAACAAATAACACATTATATGTTAATAAACAAAATAAATAAATAAATAAAAGAATGAAATCTTGCCATTTGCAATGACATGGATGGAGCTAGAGAGTATTATGCTAAGTAAAATAAGTAAGTCAGGGAAAGAAAAATACCACATGATTTCACTCATATGTTAAATTTAAAAAACAAAACAGATGAACATAGGGGAAATGAAGGAAAAATAAGATAAACACAGTAAGAGAGAAAAACCCCAAGAGACTCTTAACTATAGAGAACAAACTGAGGGTTGCTGGAGGGGAAGTGGGTGAGGGGATGGGGTAACTGGGTGATGGGCATTAACGTTGGCACTTGAAGTAATGAGCACTGGGTACTATATGTAATTGATTAATTGCTAAATTCTACTTCTGAAACTAAGAGTAATACAGTATATGTTGATTAAACTGAAGTCAAATAAAAAAATTTAAAAAAAAAAAGAACACCACTAAGGTCTGAGAAGCAACCAAAAGCTAGGGCACAGTTGAACAATAAGGTTCATCTCCTTCAACTCTGGGAAAGATAGCTGTTTTACCTAATACTTATAAAACAAACACAGATACCTACAGAGTCACACAAAATGTAAAGACAGAGGAATATGTTCCGAATGAAAGAATAAAAACAAAATATTAGAAAGAAACCATAGTGAAATGGAGATAAGTAATCTACCTGATAAAGAGTATAAAGTAATGGTCATAAAGATGCTCACTGAACTCAGGAGAAGAATGAATAAACACAGTGAGAACTTCAACAAAGAGAGGGAAAACATAAGAAAGTACCAGATAAAAGTCACAGAGTGGAAGAATTCAATAGTTAAACTGAAAAATACACTTGAGGGATTCAACAGAAGATTAGGTGAAATTGAACAGATCAGTAATCCAGAATACAGCACTGGAAATGACCCAATCAGAGCAGCAAAAAGAAAAATGAATTTTAAAAAGTAAGAATACCTTAAGAGACCTGCAGGACAGCATCAAGCGGAATAACATCTTCATTATAAGGGTCCCAGAAGAAGTGGAGAGAGAAAAAAACAGAGAGAAAACTTATTTGAAAAAGGAATGGCTAAGAACTTTACTAACCTGGGGGAAGGAAACAGACATCCAGCTCCAGGAAGCAAGGGAAGTTTCATATAAAATGAATCCAAAGAGATAATTAGATTTATAATTAAAATGTCAAAACTTAAAGATAGAGAATATTAAAGCAGCAGAAAAAAAACAACAATTTTTCTCTTAGAAGAGAAAATAGAAGGGAGCCCCCACAAGATTATCAGATTTTTCAGCAAAAACTCTGCAGGCCAGAAGGGAACAGTATGATATATTCAAAGTGCTGGAGGAAAAATCTTCCAATTGAGAAGAGTCTACCTTGCAAGCTTATCAATCAAAACTGAAGGGGAGATAGTTTTCCAAAAAAGTAAAAACTATAAAAGTTCATTACCACTAAACTGAATGATGATGAGCCTTATAGAATTGAAAAGCCTTATAAGAAATGTTAAAGGAACTTCTTTAAGCCAAAAACAAAAGGCACTAACTAGTAACAAGAAAATATATGAAAGCAAAAATCTCACTCGTAAATGTAAGTGTTAAGTAAAGGCAGTGGATTAACCACTTATAAAGCTAATATAAAGGTTAAAAGATGTCTTGAGGAACCTCCATACTGTTTTCCAGAGTGGCTGTACCAGCTTGCATTCCTACCAACAGTGTAAGAGGGTGGAACATAAGGGGTGCCTGGGTGGCTCAGTGGGTTAAAGCCTCTGCCTTCGGCTCAGGTCATGATCCCAGGGTTCTGGGACCGAGCCCTGCATTGGGCTCTCTGCTCCGTGGAGAGCCTGCTTCCTCCTCTCTCTCTTCCTGCCTCTCTGCCTACTTGTGACCCAATTAGTGAATCATTGAACACTACATCAAAAATTAATGATGCTGGCAAACTATGTTGGCAAACTGAACATAATAAAAAATAAGTCAAGACAGAGAAAGACAAATATTACATGATTTTACTTATATGTGGAACCTAAGAAACAAAACAAATGAATAAATAAACCAAAACCAAACAGACTCTTAAAGAGAACAAACTGGGGGTTGCCAGAGGGAAGAAGGTTGGAGGATGGGCAAAATTGGTGAAAGAGATTAAAAGGTACCAAGTTCCAGTTATAAAGTCACAGAGATGAAAAGTCCAGCATAGGGAATATAGTCAATATCACTATAATAACCTCATATGGTGAAAGATGGTGACTACACTCATTACAGTGAGCAATGAGTAATGTACAGGATTGAAAAGTTACTACTTTGCACACCTGAAACTAATATATTGTGTGTGGACTGTATTCAATAATAATACATTTTAAAAAATACTGTAACAAACAAATGGGCAGAAGATTGGAATAGACATTTTTTGAAAGAAGACAGATTGCCAACAGGCACATAAAAAGATGCTCAATATTACTAATTATCAGGAAAAAGCAAATCAAAACCACAATAAAATATCACCTCACACCTGTCAGAATGGCTATTATAAAAAAGGTAAGAAATAACAATGTTGGAGAAGATGTGGAGAAAAAGAAATCCTCATACACCGTTGGTGGAAATGTAAATTAGTGCAGCCACTGTGGCAAATGATATGGGGATTCTTCAAAAAATTAAAAGTAGAACTACCATATGATCCAGCAATTCTACTTCTGGGTATTTAATCTGCAGAATACAAAAACACAAATTTGAAAAGCTATATATACCTCTATGTTTATTGCATCTTATAGCCAAGACCCGGAAACAACCCAAGTGTCCTTTGATGGAGAAATGGATAAAGAAGGTATAGGCCCTGTGCGTGTGTGTGTGTGTGTGTGTGTGTGTAAAACGGAATACTCCTCAGCCATAAAAAAGGAGAAAATCTTGCTAGTTGTGACAACTTGAGGGTGTTATGCTAAGTAAAGTAAGTCAGATAGAGAAAGACAAATACTGTATGATATCACTTATGTGTGGAATCTAAAAAAACAAAAACAAATACAACAAACAAAAAATGCCAAACTCATTCAGAAAACAGACTGGTGGTACCCAAAGGGAAACAGGGTTAGGGGTGTGTGAACAGCTGAATTGTGGGGTGATGGGTGGTAACTCGACTTATGGTGATGATTATTTTACAGTATATACAGATATCGAATTACAATGTACACCTGAAACTGAGATACAGGCATAGTTGTTTTATTGTGTTTTGCTTTACCATACTTTGCAGATACTGTTTTTTACAAAGTGAAGGTGCTTTTATAAAGCACCAAGCGAGTCTATTGGTGCTTTTTTTCCAACAGCATTTGCTCACTCTGGGTCCCTGTGTCATATTTTGACAGTTCTTGCAATATTTCAAACATTTTCCTTCTTATTATATTTGTTGTAGTGATCTTGACTAGCAGTTATATTTACCAAGAACTCAGATGATGGTTAGCATTTTTAGCAATAAAGCATTTTTAAATTTAAGTATGTACTTATTTCTAAAGAAATAATGCTATTGCACACTTAACCGACTACAGTATGGTGTAAATGTAACTTTTTATATGCACTGGGAAACCAAAAAATTCATCTGACTTTACTCTATTGCAGTGGTCTGGAACAGAACCCACAATGTCTTTGAGGTCTGCCTGTAAAGTTATATACCAATCTTACCAGACACATGCACAATTCTCTTCAGTAAGCAGTTCCAAGGCCTCATGGGGAGAAGCAAGGAGTTAGATGGCACGCACTTACCTTTATCAGTAATAGCAGAGATAAGTTCATTTCCCATCTGCCTTATTCTTTAGTCTTACTTCTCAATTGATTCAGAACTTAGAGTAAGGGGAAGAGGGATGTTATTTACTGAATTCTGTCAAATCCCCAACACTTCCTAGACAACCAGCTGAGAGAGTAATGACAAGTTTGGAAGGGTATAAGCCTAGATCCTTTACACTAACCTCCCGCCCCCTCAGTACATTCCTGGGATGCCTCCTAGCAGCTCCTTCTCATTCTTAAGGCAATATGCTGTCCTATCCAAATTTCAGGCTGAGGTCCAGACCTTTATCTCTTTTCCTAAGTCTCTTAGAGGTTTTTCTTTTTTTTTTTTTTTTTTTCTTTTTTTTCCTAGAGGGAGCACAGGCAGGGAGAGTAGTAGCAGAGGCAGAGGGAGAAGCAGGCTCCCTGCCGAGCAAGGAGCCCGATGTGGGACTCGATCCCAGGACGCTGGGATCATGACCTGAGCCGAAGGCAGCTGCTTAACCAACTGAGCCACCCAGGTGTCCCACTCTTAGAGGTTTTTCATCTGTGCATTCCTACCACTGTATGCAGAAAAAAGGATCAGATTTGATTTATCACATATCATACACTTACGATAAATCAACAGCACATTTCATATATACATATATATATATATATATACATACTTATGCCTCTTTTTCCTCTTTAATATGCCTCTTATTGGGCAGAATCCCATTTTACTTTATCCATTATCTCTGCCAGGAGGCATCTTCAAATTCTCACTATTCTCCTCCTACTCTTCTTACAGCCAACATCCCATGCAGAAAGAAAATAGAACTTAAAACCCTAATTAATCCTTCACACGTATCTTCCCAAATCCCTCTGACTCTACCTCCTTACCTTCTCCTGGATTCCTTCGTCATCACCAGCAAAGTACAAAATAGGGACATTGAGTTCAGAGGCGGCGACCCACTGAAGTACGGCTTGGAGTTGCTTGTTCTGAACGGTATCACTTAGGCTCTGATTGCTGACAATCACTTTGGGTGCTGCATACCCTTCAGGGGGCTGTCCTGACATACCTCTCAACTCGTTATGGATAGCTTGATAGGCATTCTGCAGGACAGTCTCTGCTGTCCCTGTGCCCTTGACGGGTAAGCACTCATATAAACTATCTGGGAAGGCTGAAGTTGGTCTGCTTGCATCCCCAGACTTATCATCCCCCAGCTCTGCCAAGGGAGAGTCAAAGGATTTGGCAATAATGAGACATAACTTCATCACTGAGTCCATCAGATGTTCTAGCATTTGCCCATTCATGTGGCCATCTAGCTGGCTAGCAACCATCTTGGTCAGCCCAGCAAAGGGACCACCAGCCTCATCACCTTCACTTAATTTGATGGGAGAAGGGGTTACAGGTCTTTCACTCTGGTGGCTACATTCTTCCTTAATTGGCTTTTCTGGCACCTTGGGTTCAGAGCTACGGTCACTCTTGAAAATGGTCTCACCAAGTAAATTCCGGATGAAGTTAAAGAAAACACTCATCAGATCCTTCTTTTCTGCTTCCTCTTGGTCACCTCCCATTTGAGGAGACTTGGGGCTGGACTCATCAGAAACTACAGGGGACTTGCTGGCAGGCAAGTTGGTACTGCCAGCTGCTTCAATGAAGCTCTGTGCATCCATGCTTCCTCCCTGGGCCAGGTGGTATTGAATCAGAAGTAAGGCAGATACGATCAGGTCCTTGGCCCAGGAGTCTGAATCACACATAAAATTCTCAGGTTTCTCTTGGTGATGCACAGGGGGGCTGAGGTTGGAAGTATCCAAAGGATAGTCCAGAGGAATGTCTGGTACAGGCTTGTACTGTTTGTTGGGAGCTGCAAATGTTGCCCTTTGGAAACCTGGAGATCTTCCTTCTTTTTGCTGACTTTTACGCCAAAGTGTCAATCCTTCTTTGATAATGTGTTCACCCAGAGTTTCAACACAAGACTTCTCCTCAGGTTTGGATGCAGGACAGTACACTTTTTCCCTCAATTTACCTTCAGATTTCATGGCTGCAAAGTTTGCATTTTGGTTTTTAGGGTCACCCATTCCTTTCATGGAGACAAGGGAGTAACTCTCAGACCTGTCCTTAGTTTTCCTGACATTTTCAGGAGGTTTCTTTGCAAACATTACAGTGTATAGCTTACCAAGCATGGCATCCATGATATCTGTGGCCTTCTGGCTTCCGTGAGAGAACAGACTTCTTTTTACAGCTGAGACAAAGTCTGTATCAGTCATGAGGGTCCCTGTGACATTGTGGAGGTTCTTCATGAAGGAGTCAATAAGATCTGAGACGACCTCTTTTGCGTGCTTGAGCAGTACCTTCTTTAGCAGAATGGTGGCAATGGTTGTGTCCTTCACATGGATCCTCAGTGTCTTCATGATGGACACCATCATATCAGATACCACACTATTAGCATAGGTCATGATCCCTTGACTAACGGAAGCTGTAAAGTCATTAGGCCTTTCTTGTCCTCTGAACATCTTTCTCTCCCCAGATAAGGACCTTCCACCCTCTTTGGCATCACCTGCATTACGAGATTCAAACACCTCCTTGTAGAAGAAAGACTTTCTAGAAGGAGGCTTATCATCTGCACCCTTGCTTTCCTTGGTGTTCTCCTTGATCTTCAGAGTGGTCTTATATTTCAAATTTGGGGGACTCTGTAATAATCCTGAGGCTCTGTCACCAGAGCCTGGAGCCTTATCTGAGGTAGCATTCTTGGAACATGCAGAGACAGTCTCATTCACCAGTTCTGATGCCACCGTACTCAAGCTTTTGTTGGGCGCGGGTTCATCTCCCATGTATAATGACTGATGGACACATTTGTTTTCAGAACCATCTATCCTCTCATTGATCTCCTTGCGGGCCATGGCTATGACTAGATTTGTGAGGCGATTAGCATAGAAAGAAACTTCATCTACTGAACTCCCATTACCAAGTTGGACACTGGGGCCCTGGATGGGGTTCTCTCTGTGAGTCATCTCAAAATGCAACCTTCCTGGACTGCCCTTGTTGGTGGCATTGTAATAGTCCACAGAGAAACCCTTGCAGGGGTCTCCTAAGTTGCTCATTTCCCCACCTAAGGAGGATTCTCCAGGTTTGAACTTAACATCTTGGAATCCTGCTGTACTTTTTTCCAGGTCTCTGCGGAGCCAGCTGAGCACTCTGATAGGATCAGTTGAGGCTTCCTTAAAAATAGACAAGGATTCATCCGACTATAACAAAGTAAAGATATGGGACATTCAGGACAACCTCAAAGACTGGTTACAAAAATGGTCACCTTTCTCAAGCCTTAACTGCTTTATCATCACAATAAAAGTAACCAATATTTATTAGGTACTTAGTAATGATATATCAGGCACTATTCCAAGTATTTTAAGGCTACTATCTCACTTAGCAGTATTCTTTAAAAAAAAAAAAAAAGATTTTATTTGTTTATTAGAGAGAGAGAGTGCATGAGTGAGGGGGAGGGGCAAAGGGAGGGTGAGGGGCAGAGGGAGAGGGAGAAGCAGACTCTCCTCAGAGCAGGGCTCCATCTCAGGACCCTGAGATCATGACCTGAGCTGAAGGCAGATGCTTAACTGCCTGAGCCACCCAGATGCTCCTCAGTTAACATTATTCTTACAGTAAACTTAAATGTTAGTGCTCTTATTATCCACATTGTACGGAAGAAGGAACTGAAGAAAGGAGAGATCACTTTAGTTACTTATCTGAGGTTATACAGCTAATCACTGATGGAGCAGAAGTTCCAACCCAGGCATTCTGACTCTAGAGCCCATGCTCTCAGCCACTACACTATAGTGCTTTTAAAACATATACCCTTAAGGGGCACCTGGGCACCTGGGTGGCTCAGTGGGTTAAGCCTCTGTTTTTGGCTCAGGTTATGATCTCAGGGTCCTGGGATCGAGGCCCGCATCGGGCTCTCTGCTCAGCGGGGAGCTTGCTTCTCCCTCCCTCTCTCTGTCTGCCTCTCTCTGCCTACTTGTGATCTCTGTCTGTCAAATAAAAAAAATAAACAAAATCTTTAAAAAAAAATATACCCTTAAGATCTGACAGTCATCTGCTATGTAGCAGAGTAAGCATTTGCACTGAATCCAATTTTTCTTATCTTTATATTACTTGCTATTTTCTATGATTTATCTGTTTTTATTTAGATCTCTTATTAAAACTATAGTTTAAAAAAATTAGAGAATTCAAGGACAATTGTGCACCATTAATCACTTTGCTGGGCTATATAAGCCAGTCTTGATATATTAAATGGCTTCCAATGAACTATATGATATCACTTAAGTGAACAATCAATTTTTAATTGAGGAGTTAATATCTGTGGACAATTTATTAGTTTTGAACGAATACAGATTCTTTAATGGACACTAGCTGTAATAAGCACATATACATATTTTTAGGTTTATATATTACAATATAATTTTCACTTGAGCGTAGACTAAAATAAGAAGTATGTGTCCTGGGCACCTGGGTGGCTCAATGCGCTAAAGCCTCTGCCTTCAGCTTAGGTCATGATCCCAGGGTCTTGGGATTGAGCCCCTCATTGGGCTCTCTGCTCAGTGGGGAGCCTGCTTCCTCCTCCTCCTCTCTCTCTCTCTGCCTGCCTCTCTGCCTACTTGTGATCTGTCAAATAAATAAATAATGATAAAAAAATCTTTAAAAAAAAAAGAAGTATGTGTCCTATTTGCTATCAAATGTAAAGGAACACTGTAATTATATTAGAGGAATGTCTATCTAGGAAAGACTACAAGTATTGCCCATCTTTAAAGAATAACTTGGCACTTTATTTATCAAGTGTCACATAAGTTACTAGCTACTATTTCTTTCTTTCTTTTTTTTAAAGATTTTTAATTTATATGTCAGAGAGAGAGAGAGAGAGCACAAGCAGGGGGAACAGTAGAGGCAGAGGGAGAAGCAGGCTCCTCCCTGAGCAAGGAGCCTGATGTGGGACTCGGTCCTAGTATCCGGGGATCATGACCTGAGCTGAAGGCAGACACTTAACCAAGTGAGCCACCCAGGCATCCCTACTAGCTACTATTTCTTACATACTTGTGTTTGCCAGGCACTGTGTTCCCGCTTTACACACATTATTTCACCTAGTCTGAGCCCCACTGTGAGTTTACTTTTATATATACATGAAAGTCATTATTTCACCTTCTCTGAAAATGATCTTTTAACAGTTTTGGAATTCTCTGCCAAGATGTCCAGCAGATCCACCTAACAGAGATAAATATTATCTGGAGGCAAGGGTACAAGGTGCATCTTTCCTTTGGCTCAGAGGTGAATCCGAGGTGGCAATAGAACTTTGCATTCTGTTTTTTCAAGATTTTATGTATGTATGTATGTATGTATGTATGTATGTATTTGAAAGAGAGAGACAGAGATACCAAGAGAAAGCATGAGTGGGAAGGAGAGAGAGAAGCAGACTCCCTGCTGAGCAGGGTGCCCAATGCGGGGCTTGATCCCAGGACCCTAGGATCATGACCTGGACTGAAGGCAGCAGCTTAACTGACTAAGCCACCCAGCCATCCCCATTCTGTTTTTTCTAGTTTTAATTTTTCTCTGTACTAATTTTGCTTTTGATTTTCAATTTGGCTCCTTGATGGCCAATAACCATTAGTGACAGTGGTGATCAAGAATTTGGTTTTATTGTTTAATCATTTGGTGATCTCTTTAATGGATTAATTGTTTATAGAAATCTATTCTCTGTTGGGTAAGAAACAATGGAAAATTTGTGTTGGTAGCTTTTTTTTTGCCCATCTCAAGCTCAAAGTAATTAAGAATTTTGTGCCCACTTGGAAGTAGAAGAGTTCTTTGATTTCTAGACAGGTGAGTCTTGTGTTTCTGTTTATTTTTGATGCATGGCTGAAAGCTTATTATTTTTTAATGGAGATTTAATTGACATAAAATATTGTATTAGTTTCAGGTACACAATATAATGATTCAATATTTGTATATATTGCAAAATGATCACAATAAGTCTCATTAACATCCCTCACCATACCATAGTTCAAAATTATTTTTTCTTGTAATGAGAACTTTTAAGATCTACTCTCTTTGCAACTTTCAATTATACAGTACAGTGTTAACAACTATTGTTGCTACGCCGTACATCAAATCCCCAGGACTCATTTATCTTATAGTTTGAAGTTTATACCTTTTGACTCTTTCAACCCAGTTAGCTCACTCTCACACTACGCACCCCTGGCAACCACCTATCTGTTCTTTGTATCTAGGAGTTTTGGTTTTTAAGACTCTAAATGTAAGTGAGATCATACAGTATTTGTCTTTCTCTGACTTATTCCACTTAGCTTACACCCTTTAGGTCCATCCATGTTATTGCAAATGGCAAGATTTCCTTCTTTTTATGGTTGGATAATATTCTATTGTGCACATACCACGTTTTCTTTATTCATTCATCCATGGATGGACACTTGGGTTGCTTCCAGGTCTCGGCTATTGTGAATAATGCTACAGTGAACATAGGCTGCAGTTATCACTTTGAAATAGTGATTTTGTTTCCTTCAGATTTGCACTTGGAAGTGGAATTGATGGATCATGAGGTAATTATTGTTAATTTTAATAATTTCCTTATGTGATTGCAATTATAGTAAATGAGAGAATATGCACAAAATTTGTACTCCTATAGTAATGTACATAAGATACTTCTCATCTGCAGAACTTCATTGACATTACCTCTAGGTTTTCTCTTTATTGATATTTGCATTTTGTTCATACATTGTTTTCTTGGGTTTCTCCACGTGTTTCTTTTTGTTCTTTGAGCATCTTTAAGGCAATTGTTTTTTCATTTATTTCTTTTATTTTTTAGGAGATTATTTTCATTTTCTTTATTTATTTGAGAGGGAGAGAGAACATGTGCGTGCGCGCACGCGCGCGCGCGCGCGAGAGAGAGAGAGAGAGAGAGAGAGAGAGAGAGAGAAAGCAAGCAAGCATAAGTGGGGGGAGGGGCAGAGGAAGAGGGAGAAGCACACCCCCTGCTGTATGGGGAGCCTGACATGGGGCTCAATCTGAGGACCCTGGGACCAGAACCTGAGCTGAAGGCAGATGCTTAACTAACTGAGACTACCAGGTGCCCCAAGTTTTTAGTCTTTGTCTAGTGGATCTGCCGGATCTGCCATCAGGTCTTTTTCAGACATAATTTCTGTTGATCTACTTTTTTCCTTTGAGTGAGCTATACTTTCCCATTTCTTTGTACATCTTGTGATTGTTGTTGAAAACTGGACATTTGAATCTAATGGCTGAAAGTTTAGAATTGAGGCTATAAACTATCAGTATTTGTCATTCATAAAAGCACTAACTGTAAGCAGTAACGTCTTCCCACTTCCACATGATAGCAAGGGTTCTTCTGCTCCAGTACCTTAGTTTGAAGTCAACATGTCTACCTACCATCCTCTTCTTCTTCACCTCTATCTCTGTTAAAGATACTTTATGAAATTTTATTTGACCTCTTCCCACTTTGATCTGTTCTTTAAACACCTATAACAATTATGGTCAAAAAAGCTATTTGGTAAATTATCATGAATTTCTTATATTTGGGGTCTATTGGTTATTTAGAACTTTTCAATTATTTTTATATTTTCACACGTATATTTTTTATTTTCCCAAATTAATAGTAAGGTCTGTGGGGGCAGAAATTTATTTTCTTTCTTTTTTATTTTTTTGAAGATTTTATTTATTTATTTGAGTGAAAGTGAGAGACCAAGCAGTGGGGAGGGTCAAAGGGAGAGGGAGAAGCAGGCCCCCGCTGCTGAGCAGAGAGCCCCCGATGTGGGGCTTGATCCCAGGACCCTGAGATCATGACCTGAGTGGAAGGCAGATGCTCAACTGTCTGAGCCACCCAGGCACCCCTCTTTTCTTTTCTTTTCTTTCTTTTTTTTTTTTTTTTTTGCATCTCCCAGAGTGCTTCTTCCTTAATGAAAAATCATGACATTTTTTGTTTACTTGATTTAGTATTGAAATTTATCTATCTTTTGTTTTTCTACATGAAAGAACACAGGTAAATAAAATATGTAATAAAAGCAGTTTTGTTTGGTACTAACTCTATAGTAACTCATATAATATATATAGTAACTCACATAATGAATTATTTGTTTCAGGGGTAGACTAAATTTTTAAATATCACATTATTTGCTATGGTTTCCATCTTCTGACTGGACCCTGACTTACAATAACTGATACTAAGTACTTAATAAATGTTTGTTGAATGATGACAACAGAATGATAAAGTTCTGAGAATTTTGAGGCATCCTACATTTCAAAAATAGTTTCTATGAACTTTGTAGACATTTATTAGAAATCAAATCCCCTTCTATTTAAAATTTTAAAAAAATTTACAGCTGTTAATATATAGGTTTTGCATTAATTATATTTCTTCTATGAAATTACCATATATAGGATGTTCTCCCCAAAACAATATGGTGAGAATTTTTTATTCTAGAGGAGTTCATGTTTTTCCCCAAGAATTTTAAGTGAGTAGTGAGTAACTAAAGAGTAGTGGGTCAAAGAGGTGAGTAGTGGTGGTGGAGTATTCCACTTATTCCTAAATCAGTATTTCTAAAGAAGTTCGACCTTACCATTTTCCAGTCCTGGGGCTGGCTGTCTCCAGGTGAATAGACATCAACTTTGCATACTCCATTTTGGCTTTGTAACCAGTCAACTCTTTCTGACATCTGGAGGTAGAAAAAAATGAGAAAGGGCCATCAAAGGACAAGTTACATGAAATGAAGAAGAAAGACAAATGATTCAGGTGTGCCCAACAGGAGCAATGCTTTCAATAGAGACTTGTCCCACGAGCTACTACAATGCATGAAACTCTAGATCTCTCCATTCTCAGTTCTCAATTGCATGAAGATTCCTTAAATATTTGTATCTCTAATACTGAGGCTGGTGCCTGGTATATGCTAGAGGTACTTACTACAGATTTGTTTATGAATGAACCTATGTAGCCATGTCCTGCTCTGTGTGTCTTTGCTTGACAGCCTTTCCACATCCTGGATTTTCACTAGACACTCAAAACTCAATGTGATCAAAATAGAATTAATTTATATTTTCCCTGCCCATTCTTGTCCCACTGACTTATTATTTTTTGTCCCACCAACTTTTACTTTTAAAGTAGTAGATGCTTCATTTTCATTAACTTCTGGAGCACTAACTTAACTTATATTAGCAGTAACTCTAGTAGTTCCTCCTTAAGAGGAGCTTAATCCCTCCTCCAGATAGCTAAGGGTGGGGGAAATTCTTAGTCTCCATGGTTCAGCCAAACTTCTGGTGCCAGGAGAAAAGAGATGCCACATACACCGTTCAGCGGACCTTTGCATGGATGCCCTTGCTGTTGTTGATTGTTCCATAAGCCTCCCAATACTTTGCTCTACTCCCTAATCTCAGTAAAGGCACTGCCGTCTAGCTGGTCTTCCAAACCAGAAAAATGATAATCATTTTATTGTCTTCTTGCACCCCAAAGCCTCCCTCTAGCTGCTACCACTTTCTTTTTTCATTTGTTGACAATTTTCATGAAAGAATTGCTTATACTTGCTTTTTGCTAACCTCAAAATTTAGCGTAACAGCCCCCTTTCCTTTGGCCTTAGTCTTGTCTATTTTCCTTAGCATTGCATCTTGAGAGTCTTTGAAAACATGGCTAATTATAATATTTGTCCACTGATAATCTACAAGAAGCTTTTCTTTGACCTCTTTTTCCATGCCAGACTTCCATTACTAGGCTTCCACACTGAAGTTCCCTTCTTTCATTATAAACTTTGCTTAACAAGGTGGAATAAAATGTCCAATTTTTCTCAACAAGGTGGAATAAGATGGCCAATTTTTCCTCTCTAATGGAAATGTCTTTTAGAAATGTGTGTGTGTGTGTGTGTGTGTGTGTGTGTGTGTGTGTGTGTATTCTCATATTTGGTTTGAAGAAAATAAAACGTTTATTTAAAATTGTTATGGGGTGCCTGGGTGGCTCAGTTAGTTAAGGGGTTAAGCGCCTGCCTTCAGCTCAGGTCCCATCCAGAGATTCTGGGATTGACCTCAGCTCCCTGCCTAAGTGGGGAGTCTGCTTCTCCTTCTGCCCCTTCCCCCTGCTTCTGTGCACGCTCTCTCTCAAATAAATTAATTTAAAAAATCCTAAAATTGTTGTAAGTTGTTTTAAACTGTTACAATAAAGTCCAAAAGCTTCTCCTTTTTTTCACAGTGAAATTAAATTTTATTAAAAATTGCTTGAAATAAGCATTATGAAGGGTTGAATACCTGGGTTAATTGGAAATGTTTGTTTTAAAGGACTTTGGGCAATGGTGGGGGCTGACATCCTCCCTCAAGATAAAAACCAACACAAATCAAATACAGATTACATAAGATTTAAGATTTAAATGGATTTATTATTTTTCTTATATAGCGTATTACAAGTAATAATTAAAAAAAAATAAGACCTTTTAAGAGCTACTTGTCCTTTGCTCCCACAAAAATTTGTACCTGTTTTCACACCCTAATCACTAACTCAGATTAGGGACAGTTTCTCTTACTCTTCCTGGCATTGTAATACAATAGTTTCCTTGGGAACACAGTGGGTTTTCCTCCTTGATTAGATGTTAGAGTCACCCAGAGAACTGTTTAAAGATACTGACTGAGATATTACCTCCCAAAGAACCTTATTTCATTGGTTTTGGGTGGGGAAACTTAGCCACTGAATATCTTAAAAGCATCCTGGGTGATTCTGAAGTACATCTACATAAGAATGAGAATCCCTGGGTCTGTGGATTCTGAGAAAGACTGCCTGGCTCCAGATTATTTTATTTTAATTTTATGTTTTTATTATTATTTTAATTTCTTTTCAGCGTAACAGTATTCATTGTTTTTGCACCACACCCAGTGCTCCATGCAATCCGTGCCCTCTCTAATACCCACCACCTGGTTCTCCCAACCTCCCACCCCCTGCCCCTTCAAAACCCTCAGATTGTTTTTCAGAGTCCATAGTCTCTCCAGATTTATTTTTATTTATTCTTTTCTTTAAAAATTTTCTAAGATTTCCTAACATTCTTTGGTATCTTATTTCAATTTTTTTTAAAACCATAATACGGGAGTTCTTAATGTCTATGAAGTCAAGGCTTTATTGTCTCTCAGCAACTATTATCTGCTAATATTCTTATACTTGAGTAAGCATAGTACCATGAACAAAGGAATGGATGTTACTATTACTCGGACAGAGAATGAGAAGACTTAGAAATAGACTGCTCTGAACTGTTGCTAGAACAAGTGAAAGCCAGAAGCTTACCTTTCAATATCCAGTTGATATTTTATCTTAATGAATTACATCTAATAGAAAACGACAAAATCGATAGGGGCTCCTCACTTATTTAAGCTATTTATTGCAATTAAAAAGTCAGAATGAAAATTAAGTACATAAGGAAGGAAATTATGTGATCACTTACTCTTACTGAGGACAGGTTCTGAGATACGAGGAAAGCTCGTGATTAATTTGTTGTTGTCTTCACTATCCCTAAATTTACCCACCCCTCCTGCCATGAAATATAAGGGATCTGCAATGGAAAGACACAGATAAAAATGACTAATTTTACATATGAACCCTATTGCTCTTATTACCAAATAATGATTTTGACTTGATTTACTCATTATTTTTCACATGTAGTACACAGGTCATGAGCACAAAATGACATTCAATTTAAAGGCCACATCTTATTCTGGGTGCAGTCTGATGTTCCCAGATGACAAAAAAAAAAAAAAAAAAAAAAAGGTTCCATCTTCTGGCCAACATTGTCTGAAATGACTATTGCTATTCTCTACTTTCAAATCAGTGGTATATAGGGTTATTTAACAATGACAAAACTAGAAGTTTTTAACTTCATCTCAAACTTCTTGATTAGGAAGTCAGAATAGTAGTAGCTAGGATGAAGAATAAGTGTCCCGAGTTCATGGATCTCAAAGCACTTTGTAAATATTCTTTTGAGGACTTAAGAGAAATATACATCTTCATCTTGCAAAGAGCATATATAGTTAATGTTAGCTCTAGCTTCCAAATCAAAAATTTTCCCTGTATTTCCTCTTCTGAGACATTTACAGAGAAGACATTAGGGCATTGTACTCTCATATTGGAATATCCATGCACACCCCACCCTCCTGTGATATTTCTCTAAATCCCACCCTTGCTTGGTAAGTTCAGGACAAGCTTACCACGTCTATAAATATTTTCTAAATATCTAATTGAACATGATTGCTCCTCTGCCAAAGTTTCCATCATATTTTGTTTCAATCTTTACATCCCATCTAGTCCTTTAATTGCTCACGTATATTTCATCTCTGTAATTATTTTTAAGTGAAAAAAATTTTTTATTAGGTTATGTTAGTCACCATATAGTACATCATTAGTTTTTGATTATAAGATGGTGTTTTGAGGACAGATGCATTTTCTTACTCATCTCGGGATCCCTCATAGTAACTAGTGTCTTAAAGTTGGTGCTTAATAATTATCCACTGTAGAGAGAGTCAATTATTATATGGTTTCACTTACTTGTGGAGCATAAGGAATAATATGGAGGACACTGGGAGTTGGAGAGGAGAAGTGAGTTGGAGGAAATTGGAGGGGGAGACAAATCAAGAGAGACTGTAGACTCTGAGAAACAAACTGAGGGTTTTGGAGGGGAGAGGAGTGGGGCATTGGGTGATCCTGGTAGTGGGTATTAAGGAGGGCACATATTGCATGGAGCACTGGGTTTGGTGCATAAACAATGAATTCTGGAACACTGAAAAGAAATAAAACAAAATAAAATGAAAAAAAATTATCTGTTGAAAGAATGAATACAGGAAAACTGCCTATTTCGAATTCCAGATAGTGTAATCTTTTCTTTCTTTCTTAAATAGGAGAATCTGAGAACAACAAAAAATGGTTTGCTCAAGTTTCCTATGGTGTTAAGCCACACATTCAGGCTTTCTTGAAGCTTGGTTCCTTTTGGGGATAAGTTCACCCCAGAAACACATTCAAGGTATAAATAATTATCTAACAATTTATTAACAGAACTTCCTATCCCAATAACACCAATAAATCAACAACCTTTTAGTCATATATATCCAACAAACACTTCTACTTACACATACTAATGTTTTTATTCTATTTTGTATGTCTTCTGCATTTTTATCTGCATCCATGAATCTTTTTTTAGATTTTAAATGCCCCAAATGTCCTGGCTAATTGTATTTATATGAAGTACTTAAATATCTTTTGATGATAATGATATTCATACTTCTAAATCTGTATACATTTCCCATAATGAAATTTGAAAAAGAGGGAAGGAAAATCTAGAGTTTAATGGACCCAATGAACAGATTCATAAATATCTTAAGCTCAAAGTTGGTGAATAATATCCTGGAGTTAGGGTAGAAAATAAAAAAGATGCTTTGTATTATCTATTAAATTTGAGGAGGAAAGAAAGCTAACTCTATACAGTATATAGATAAATGGACCCTAGAAGCCATTTATTCTAATAACCTTACTTTGTAGATTAAGAAACTGAGTCCCAGAAAGGAAATGTTAAAAACACTGGATATATTCCTTTAAATAATACAGCTTTGCATGTTAACATCCTAGAAGGTATGAAATTTTTCTATAGCCAAGAGGGATCCTGTGGCCCATAGAAGGGACAACCCTTAAAAAGTGCCAGTGTGGTGACTGCCTCAGTAATAATCGAGGAGGAATGCAAATCGTGAACGCCAGCCAGAGAGGGCATAACACAGGAATTTGGTTATGGTTCCTGTACTTCAGACCACAGCTCTATCTCAAGACATTTTTCTTCTATATCCATCATAAGCAAGAGGCTCCTGTTTATTCAAGGTTCTTAAAGTCACAGAAAAGCCCAAACTACAGGCAACATAAATAAAGCTTTTGCTGGGTTGATACCTATCTTATCATGTTTTAAAGTTTATTCAACCAACTTTATTACTAATTATTTAAAGTTTATTCAACCAACTTTTATTACTAATTTTGAAAAGGAAGAATATATTCAATTATATCCATTCTCTTTTTCTCTCTCATTCCCTTCTTTTAAGTGCCAGGTACATTGTACACACTCAATAAATTTTGTTATTCTTAACATCAGTTACAATTGATTATTTAAGGATTAGAAGTGTGTGTGTGTGTGTGTGTGTGTGTGTGTGTGTGTGTGTCTTTTCCCTTGGAGATACCATTCATTGTTAGCTTCTCTGTGGATCTCCTCCATTTTCACTTTCCCTTAACTTCTTCTCCTGGTGCCTCATAAATACAGATATTTCCTCCACAAGGCTTTATATATATCCTGACTTTTCCATGTTCTCTATTGTCTAGCTAAGGCTTCAGAAATAACAGTAGAGATGATGAAAGTAAATGAGAATTAGGATGCAGGACTCAGAGCTACACTGGTCTGATTTTGTTATTAGAGCACAGGGAAAAAACAAAAAACAAAAAACACAACTTTTGGAATAGTTACACAATGAAGAGAAGTCAGCAGGTAGTTAAGCTTCCAGACTCATCATCAAATTGGGAAGTGAGGAGTAAGTCCCCTTGGTGATCCCAAAAGGATGGCCAAGGAGATCTGGTTAAATCTGCAATTAAGTTAAAATTTCAGCAGCAAAGACGATAGGTTTAGCTGTTACACTACTGAGGGAGAGGCTCATTTATTTCCAGAAAACCCTGATGTAAAATGTAAACTGTGCAAGAAGGAAGGCTAGATTGAACATTAAAAGTTAACCATCACTTGTCACTGAATTCTCCTTTTTAAGTACAGAGGCTCAGAAAATGGGCTGTTGTATCAGTCCAGTGGATTTCCTACCTCTGTAGCACTGGAAGAGTGAACCACAGAAGACTCCAGACTATATGTTAAAAGTCAATGAAGATGCTGGGATGTTCTTGCTCAGCTCAAGATCTTGTTTCCTCCTCCAGCCTTCCATGTACCTCCCCCTTGTTGGGACTGAAGAGTGACATCAGAATCACAACTGGTGATATCATTGTCTCTATAGCAACAGTAGTGAGGCTATCAGAAACTGAGCTGTCAAAGGACAAGGGGTATAGGTTAAAATACACTCCATGTCTCTGATGCTTAGTTTGGAAGGACTGGGCTTGCTTTCCCCTAATTAATTTTCTCCTTTAAGTAATTGGGCAGGGAATACGGACGGGGAAAATTTTGCCATTGGATCGTACTTAAAACAACAGAGTATTATATGTAAACAAATTCAGATGGGTACAGAGAGGGAGAAATAAAAATTCAGCATCAACTAAATTTTTTTGTGCAAAGCGTATGAAATCACTTCATTTTGTGAACCCAGCCTTGACTCTGAGTTATAAGCATCTTACCTTTTGTAAAAACAAACAAACAAACAAACAAGCAAACAAACAAATAAAAGTTTGCAGATATTTTGCCCAAACTGACTATCTCTGGGTTATAATTTATCTTCAATGGTCAGAGACAGTAAATCTAATCCATTCTCTGCAATGCCTCAATCTGAGGAAATGTACTGGGATAAATCACACTTAGAGACATTTGGCTGACAATTTCTGTCCTTGAGGAGGACTTTATTCTTAGTACATTCTCTTTGGAAATATTATCCTATGAACTTTTAACTAACAATTAAGTATAGGACTAGTACATAGTTTTCATGAAACAAAAAGAATCTTGATCAAGGCCACAAGATAAAGACTAAAATTTTTAACAAATTCAAAAGTGACTGGTTTGTTACAGGCTTCCTTCAACAAGGTTTTTTATCTACTGATGATCTTTTATACTGTCTCAGTTTCTTCATCTTTAAAATAAAGGAATTGGGCTTAGTTATCTCTTGAGATCCCTTCCAGCTCTAACAGTCTAGAATTTTTGAAACTTTGGTGGTATGTAAATAGACCTGCCCAGGGGGTGGCTCAGTGGTTTAAGCCTCTGCCCTTCCTTCGGGTCATGATCTCAGGGTCCTGGGATCAAGCCCCACATCAGGCTCTCCGCTCAGCAGGGAGCCTGCTTCCCCCTCTCTCTCTGCCTGCTGCTCTGCGTACTTGTGACCTCTCTCTTTCTCTGTCAAATTAATAAATAAAATCTTTAAAAAAAAGAAACCTGCCCAGATGACAACTATTAACTGATAGAGCGAGGACTGGGATCTAATATTTTGAGTTTTAAGTCAGTGCTCTTTCAACAATATGTCATCTTGAAATTAGTATTGAGAACATGAGCCAGTGTTCGACTTCAAGATGTAAAATAGCAGCCTTGCCATTTTACACAGGTAGTAGGGGGCCGCTTATGATAATGGGGTCTGCCAGTTTATCAGAACCAGTCAAGTATTTTATATTCATATTGATTCCAGAAGCAAATATTAGAGAATTTTAAGTGCTGAGTGAACACTGGATGAGGCCAAGAAATATAAGACTGTAACATTATTGAACCTCTCTGATAAAATTTTCTCAAGAAATTTTCTTTTCCTTTAAGAGTTTCTTTTCTCTTCCAATTCAGTTTGGTACAGGACACTTCAAGAAATAGTTGGGGGTGGAATGGGAGTGGGAAACAACGGATCTCACAAGCCCAGTAATAGACAACCACTACTCATTAGCAGACTTTTGTCCATCCAAGCAACTCACACTACTTTCCTCTTGACAAAAACAAAGCACTGAAAGAATTACCAAATCTAGAAAGATCCCCCAAACTAGTTTGTTTTTTTAATAAACCCAAGGCAGATGTCTCAGGACAGATTGCTTGTTGCTGTCTGCCACGCAGAAATTTTGAGCAACCAGAATAAACTACTTAAAAATGCAAGTGTTTAATCTTTCTGCAATCTCCCCAGGCTCTAGAAACCTCTTTCTAGAACAGTGCAGATTCTCAGAGTCCACGGTTAAGAAAATAAAAATTATAAACTATTGTTCTAGACTCGTCTTGAGTTTCCTTCCAGAAAAAAAGTGCAGTGGCATACATACCCGCTAAATTTTACTTAACATTTCAGGAGGTTCACAGACTTCTTTGAGCCCATTCATGAATCACACCCCAGCTTAAGAATCCCTGGAGTCATACGTCAGGTGGTAATAAGTGCTTTCATATTAAATAAAAACAACAAAGAGACGACGGAATGATGACCACCTGGGGGTGTCAGAGTAGTTTTCTCTGAGCAGAAACTTGAGCTGGTGTAGACTTCTGAGTGAGCATCCCAGGTAAAGGGTGCAGCAAGAGCTAGGGCTCCGAGGAGACAATGTGCTTGGCGAGTTCGACGTGCACATCCTGATTTCCATTTCTCTTCCTTCCCTTCTCTGCCCTCCCGCCTCACTTCTTTCTTGTTCAACCTCTCCTCTGGACCCCAGTTCTTTCATTTGAGAACTTCCTGAGCGCCGGGGCCACGCCTCCATTTTCCCTAGTCTCACCAGAGCTGCTCTACCTGACATTTCAGGAAATAAAGAACTGAACTGAGAGTCAGGAATGTTGGGGTCCCTGCAGCTCGGGTTCTGCTGCCATTTTGCACGCCCTTCAGTCAGTCACTGGTTGACTCTGAACTTCACGTTCTCTGGCAATGAGATTATCTTTACGGCCCACCCCAGATCTGAGATTCTAATCCCAAGATTCTTCTCTATTTCCCTTCTTTGCCTTCTCCTTCACATTTTCTCCCTTGCGCCTTGCTCTCTCTTCCCCCAACTCTCCTCTCTTCATATCCCACCCCTATCGCTAACCCACGCCTTAGCTTCTCGGTTCGCGCCTGCGCAAACAGACGTGGACGATGACTTTTAGCCCAGCTCAGTAGCCGTAGTGGGTCGGAGCGCCGGCCGTGGGGGATTGTGGGAGAAGATGGCGGCTGCCGTTCACCGCCGGGTTGTCCGGGCCCTGCCAATGTCACGTAAGTGTCACCGGGAACAGCGGCCCCCGTTTGGGATTGCGAGGGGGGGGGGGGGATCGGAAGTGTTGAGAGTGGCGCGGTGCCGCAGTGGTCACGCCGACTCCCGACTACCTTGGTCTTTCTAGGTCCGCGACTGCCTGTAGTTTCTGCTTTCCTTTCCCCCTCCTTGGCTCCCATTGAATTGTACATTTGGGAAGGGGGTCTGTGCTGAGCGAACGTGAGCAGTGGGAAGGGAAAAGGAGGAAGTGCGGGACATGTAAAGGATCGAAAGATCAGTTCTCATAGGGTTGTAAGGGTTTGAGGTTATGAAAAATTAGTGTGTGTGTCAAAACAAACAGGGTTGCTGGGGGGAGGAGGGTTGGGAGAGGGTGGTGGGATTATGGACATTGGGGAGGGTATGTGCTGTGGTGAGTGCTGTGAAGTGTGTAAACCTGGCGATTCACAGACCTGTACCCCTGGGGATAAAAATATATTATATGTTTATAAAAAATTAAAAAATTAGTGTGTGTGACCGGTGGCGGGACGTTCGGGGGTTGGGGCGGGGGTGAGATCTGAAAAGGATGGAAGAAAAAGGATAGACAAGTTTCTTAATGAATTAACTGTACGACCTTGTGCAAGCCCTTAATCTGTCTCAATTTCAGATTCTTCATGTTACAGTGGGGATGGTAATACCACAATGTCAGGAAGTTTACGAAACGATTAAATAAAGTAATATTTATTAAAGTACTTTCTGAGTCAAAAACATCCCTGCATATGTAGAATGTGTTAGGTCGAGACACTGGGGCCTGGGGGAGCGAGGGATGCTGGAGAGAACAATCAGGGGCTTGGCGGAAAGGAATGTGAAGAAGAGTAAAGGATATCTTAAGGTTTGTCTAAGCATTGTTCATTTTTCCTTCTATTCTGATTGGATCTGCTGTCATGGTCCTCAGGTTGAAAATATACATTTGCTCTTACACCAAGAAACGAGGCAAGAAAAGCAAGGAAGTTGGGAATACAGTTACACTTTATTATCATTCTTCCCTTTCCACCCTTTCACAAATTTGCCCCAGTCAGCCTCCAAAAGTTGTGTTTTTCCATAGTGTATTCAGGTCATTATCAAATATCATTTGCTCTCAAAGTTAGCTGCATGTCAGAATCATTTTTAGTGCTTTAGAAAAAACAGAAATGGGGACTCATTGCAGAGCTATTGAATCAGAATTTTTGAGACTGACTCCTTGCACCTTAGGTTTCGAAAAAGCTCCACAAGTCCTTCTGATGTTTAGGGTGAGGAGCAAGTCAGGAGTATTTGGAGGACACATTTCTATTTTCCATCTTGGGTAGAGCTGCTACATACCACTGGAAAGGTGATTGGTTCATGTGGTTTATAGTGGGTGGTTTTGTAGCTGTGACTTTTTTGCAAAGACATCTGTTGGTTCTTGTGAAAGTATTACATAGGTGGGACATAATGTAGATCATGAATGATAATAACTGCTATTTTTGTATATTGGCTATTTGCTAAACACAGTCCTAAATATTTTTAAATAAATATTTATTAAAATAAGTATTTTAAAATAAATATTTTCACTTTAACTTCTTTTGCGTTGAAACCATAGATTGTTCTGTTAACCTCTATGCTTTATTGTCTCTGGTGAGTAAGCTTTTGCATCAACTCTAGAGAGGCCAGTCTAGTGTATAACATAACAAAAAAAACTATAGTACGGAACTGTGTGAAACAATTATATATGGTGAGATGTGGAGAGACTTCTAAGTACCATAGGAAAGCAGAAAAGGGAAAGATTAGTATCATTTGAAGTAGGGAAGATTGGAAGAGCAGTGGAGAATTGCAGTGCTTCCACTGATTTTTCTTTTTGTGTTTTAGGATTGTTATGATTTGGAAAGTGAGAGAAACTAGGCATTTTCCTGGCATGGGCAAGGACAAGGTGGTGAGAATGGAATCACAAAGTGATTAGGAGACAGTGAACTGACTACCTGTAGATATGGAATAGTAGGAAAGAAAGTTGAATATGTTAGGTAGGATCAAATAATGGAGGACTTTGAAAGTCAAGCAGTTTTGTCCAGTGGTCTGGAAAATGGGTTTTGCAAGAGGAATCAGTGAGATACAAAAATTCAGTATTAGAACTTAAGGAAACATTTTCAGTAATAATAACAACCATAGCTAACACGTAGTTCAAACTATATACCAGACACTATTCTAAGTGCTTTAATATGCTTTATAGTGTATATGACATATTGGTACTACACAGAATGTATGTGTGATTTATAAATGTTTAAAACTTATGCAGTGTGCAAGCAAATATGTTTGGAGAAGATTGGTTTATATATTATAGTAAGAAGCCAATAGAGGTTTTTGAGCAGAAGAATATAATGAATAAAGACTATTACTCTCCTAATGGTGTTCATAATATATGGAAGAAAATAGAGAAGTTGGAGCCAAAGAAGGTAACAACTTAGATTTATTAAGTACCTAGTAGTGCAAGGCACTGTGATAGGTACCTACCCATATATTAATTTTCAAGTCAACCCTCTAAAATGTAAGCTCCCTAAGACCAGGGACTGTCTTTTTTATTGTGCTAGTCAGTTTCTAGATTAGTGGTTGGCCTGTAATTGTTGGGGAAAAATAAACAAATAATCTCATGAGGTTAGTGTAACATCACCTGAAAGATTTTGAGGTAATAACAAGTGAAAGCTTCTGTTACTCATGGAGTGCTTAACATGCGCTACATAATGTGCTAAGTGCTTTGTGTACATTTACTATAATACTCCTAACAATCATTTGTGGTATTAATTCCTTGACTGTAGTCATTCTTCCTGCTTTATCCAGTGTCCTCATTTCCTTCCTTATTGAACATTCTAATCATTCTCTCATATATTCTTAACTCCTCAGCCCATCTGCCTGTGGCATTTAAAACAAAACAAAACAAAACAAAACACTAATTAAACCAAGCTTTCCACATATTTCCTGCGTACCCCTGAATAGTAGAGAACTGAGCTACAGAAAACTCCAAACTGACCTTATTTTAAATTCATGAATACAAATATCAAGTAGATTTTCAATATTATGTTTTTCAAAGAAATTTGTTTTCCCTTTTCCATATGATTATTTAACATTGTCAGTTTCCTAAAACTTGTAACATGTGCTTCTGTCTCATTCTCACCTTTACCTAGAAATCAGAGGAATCAGATGAGAACGATCTTTTTCCCACCATAAAAATCTAATAGCTGAGCTGTGATAATTCTCAGCTTTCTGCCCTGTGATAGTGGATAAACTCCTCGTACTTTGATCTAAAGCCAGTTCTTTTGTTTTGCATTCCATCCCATTCCAGTTACCTGTGTATTCCCTCTCCTGAATCACTCGTTTTCCCCTTCTACTGGGTCATTTCTGTCAGTGTATAAATATGTTATAATAGCTCATATGGAAAAAAAATCCTTCCTTGGCTTTATGTTCCTCTAGTCCTCCCCCTACCTTTTACATCATGTCTCCTCAGAAGAATCCTCAATACTCCTTTTCCCACTTCCTTTCCTCACATTCTCTACTGCCTGCTCGAGTCAGGCTATCATTCCCACAGCAATAAAATTGCTCTTATTAGGGCCACTCAAAACCAACATCTAGGTCTATGGTCCTCTGTCCTCATCCTACTTCACTTTTCAGCTGCCTTTGATAGAGTTAACTATTACCTCTATCAGTCCCTTTCTTCATTTACCTTCTGGGTACCATTTCCTTTTGTTTTCCCCTTACTTACTGGGCTGCTGTTCAGTCTCCTTTGCTGGCTTTTCAGGCAAGTCACTTAAACTCTCTGAGCCTGAGCTTCCTTATCTGTAAAGTGGCAGGAAGAATAGTATTAAATAAGATAATACCTACTGAGCACTTAGAACAATGCCCGGCATCGGCTAGCAGTTTTGTAAATTTAGCTGTTACTGTAGTTTGTTGGTTATGTATCTGATCTGCAGTGCTTGTTATTAATCTTTGTGGTTTCAGTCACTGTTCAGTAAGCTGAAAAAGTGGGTTTTTTCTCTAATTTCATGCTTTTGGATAGGGAAAAACCATGGTTTCTGGGCAGAGTGCCACTGGAGAATCATGTGCAGAAAAGAGACACACTTACTTAGTTACTCACTTACCCACCCTTCCTCCTTTCCTCCCTCCCTCCCTCCCTGACTGCCTTCCTTTTTTTTCCCCCCAAACACAAGTTCTCTAAAGCATTTCCTATTTGTTTCAGTGTTCCCCAAGTTTACAGAACACCAGTGTTGATGGTAAACAGTTTGTTGATTCTAGCAAAAGTTTATTAGCACTTTAAATGTTTTACTTGTTTTTTACCTATTCCCTGAAGGTTAGGTAACTTCCTCTAAAACTCTGCCGTAATACGTTTCAAGGGGCTTGAAAATTAGGAGTGTGATTCCAAAGGAGTTTTACACCTCTGTGGAATGCAGAATAGTTGATGGATCTAGGGGTGTGTAACCTGGAGAAGACTTAGAGATATACTTGCTTCACTTAAATGAGAGAGAGGGATTAGATTTGTTCTTTGTCATTCCAGAGGAGCAAAGAAATCAAAGCTGCTGGGAAACAGTCATTGATCTCCCATGTGGTGGAACCCTCTGTTAGAATGTCTCAAATAAGAATGGTCTGTGATGGGAAGTCATGTTTCCCCACCTTGCAGATGTCTAGGCTAAGGCCACATGCTCTCCTTGTGCATATAAAGTG